TTTTCCCCATTGGGTGGCCAAGCTGAGAAGGTGCAAGGCTGATGCTACTGGAGAATGCCATATTGAGAACTTAAGTGGAGAAAGCGAAGCAGAGGTCAGCAGAGCCAAGAGATGTCAGAGACAGGGCTGGAACCATGGACGACGTTCTTCAAGCCCCCGAATCCAGCCAAGGCTTCAGCTGGTTGCATTATTAGACTTCCTAGTTAAGCAAATGAAAAACTTCCTCTTTTAAATTTTAAGCTAGCATGAGTTAGAATTTCGTCGCCTGCATCGGAGAGAGTACCATCTGATACACGTTCATTTTCTGGGTGTATCCTGTGCTATTAGGGTTCAGCCGAGCTTTACTGGTCTGCTGACTTCTAGTACCTTTAAACTTAGTTCCTACATCTGTCAACATTCTATGGTTTCAAAAAATTGCCTTATTCACAATTAATTTGTTCATTTAGCAGCTCTCTATTTAGTACTTACTATGTGCAAGCAACGGTGGTAACTGCTGGAGAATTAGCAGGTAATATGACATATCCAGTGTTCCCAATCTCCAATCCAGGTTATTTAATTAGAATTGTGTTAAATTCCAAGAAGAAAAATAAATGAATGTTTTCAGAGTATGCACAACCCACTTTACAGTCTTGTTGTGAGAACCAAAGGGGATCCTATGTCTGAAAACACCTACCAGTTTCAGCACAAAAATATTTAGCTTTGTTTCCACTCATGGGATAAAACTATAATAAGCCCATTTCTGAAGTATCTGCTCTCATCACTGAAAATACCTTCTTTTACACATTCTTTTCTGATTCTAGATCTCACATGGAATACAACATTTTCAATTTGCCAAATGGTGAGGTAGCGAGTAGCTGAGAGGTTCTGCTCTAAATCCAGGAGGTACACAGCCATGGACCTGCTGGAGGTTTTGGCTTCCAATGCTCTGAAATACTGCCTCTGCCTTCACCACCCACACTTCCTGCTGAGAACCTACGCTCTCTCTTTCCTTTGCCTTTATTACTTCCAAGCCTGCAGTCTCCGAATGCTGTGATTTAATGAGAGGAAATTTACTTGACTTAATGTACAAATTTGCCAGGGGAAGTGAGTCTGATAAGGATAATTACACCCACATCTTAGTGTAAATTACAGCAAATGTTTGAAACTGTGAGCAGCTGCCGCGTCTCTGTCACTCAACGTGGCCTCCATTCTTTGGGGTTCACCACCAGCTAATGAACGTTCAGTGGAAGTGAAATGAGAAGAAGCCTGATTACAATGACCTGACCTCCCAGAGTCCCATCATTTATTCAAGGAAGAAGTAGTATTAGAACAAGGTGTTTTCTGCATAGACTTATGTGTAGCCATAGATGGAAGGTGTGGGCAGGCTCGGTCCCTGGCATATTTAGGAAGTGGTGTTGGTTCCACACTCATGGCTTTTCACAGTCTTGACAAAAACCACTGACCAGCCTGATCTCCCACAGTTACCCTCAGACCCAGGCCAACAGTTTGCCTGCTATGCCCTGGACGTGCCGTTCCCACACCGTTGACCCTTTTGTCTCCATTTTCTCCTTCTCCCCTTTTCAGTCTCAGGAAACCCTAATCTCCATCGGAGGGGCAGCCCACATGCTACCATTCAGAAGCATCGATCCTCATCACCCCAAGTCATTCTCTCCTCAGGGGTTGCATCTCATCCTCTTCATATCTTTATCATGGCATTTATTTCCCCAGTAAATATGTAATGAGCACTTACCAGGAACATGGAGTCCTAAGACAAATCAGCCATTTCTTGCAAGAGCTCAGTGTCTAGTAGGGGAGACATTGGAGACATTCATGTGGAAGTAAAAACGATCACCACAGTTCTAATGCAGAGATAAATCCTCAGTAAAAGGGACCACAGGCTTCAGTGGGAATCAAAAAGTAAGAACCCAGCCAAGGCTGGAGGATCATAGAAAGAGTTCTAGATGCAGGAGTGCCTCAGCATAACCTTTAACGATGAACAGAAGTTATCCAAGTGAAGAGAAGGAAAAAGACATTCTACACCGAGGGCACACCACACTTGTGCTGATTATCAGTGGTTTGTCTTTCCAAACATCTTCTCACTCTTTTGAAGGAAGAGGTTGGCTTCATCCATATTTGTATCCCCATTACCTAGGATAGGTGTGTAGTAGGTGCTCAACAAATGTCTGTGGGATGAACGAAGTGGACTTCACTCCAGAGGACGTTAATTGCTTTTGTTTCATGTATGGGCTCTAAGCAGTGCTACATAACTCAGTGAGTAACGGGAAAATGGAACCAAGAATAATTGGTCTGTATCAACGACCTCTACAATCCACGCCCAAACGTGTCAGTTTAAAGCAATGATAATTATTTCTTGTGATTATTCCATGAGTTGGTTGGGTGATTCTGCTGCTACTGTCTCCTGCACTCACTCATACAGCTACCTTCAGCTGGAGGGTCACCTGGATCTGCTGCCTGGGCTTGGCTGGGACAGTGAAGACAGCTGGGCCTCCCCCTTTATGTGGTCTTCCATCCTCCAGGAGGCTAGATTGAGCTTCCTCACACGATGACATCAGCATTCCAGGAGGGAGAGCCCTAGAGCACAAACGCTTATCAAGCTTCTACTTGTTTCGCATTTTCTGATGTCGCAGTGGCCAAAGAAAGTTGCATGGCCAAGTTCAGACTCACTGCGGTAGGCGATTACACAAGGGCCAGGAGGCGTGTTTCACCAGGGCCATTAATGCTGCAATCCGTCACATGTCAGTGGGTGTCAGGTTGTCACAGTGGAAGAGGTCAACGTATTGGTGTGGCAGGGATACATATCAGTCATTGCTCTGGAGACAAGGGGCTGGGGCCAAATTTCTGAAGTCATGTAGTGCAGTGATAAGCGTATTATACTTGCTGGACTTGGAATGGGAAGAACAGGGTTTGGATCCAGTTAAACAAATCCAATAATATTTACCTCACAGGTTTTCTCCAGCATCAAAGGCAATAATAATGGGAAAGTATTTCGCAAGCTTGAAAAGAAGAGAAATGAGCTTGGTTAGGCAGGAGACCCAAGTCAGCACCACAGACAGCTCCAAGGCCACGTGCAGCCAAGCGCAGTCACCAGATCATCCAAGGATATGAATTACCTGCTCCTTAACCTGGAGGTGCCTGTGCCCCAGAGAAACAACTTGCTGGGTGTGTAAAGACCTGGATTTGCTCCATACAGTCTCATTTGTCTTGGGCTCTTTCCTGTCATGACCTGTATGAATTGAGTTTAGGTTTAGTTGTAAGAGAAATCCTAAGAGTAGCTTAAAAAAGGTAGCAGTTTCGACTCTCATAAGCAAAGGCCATTGCTGGGCAGTTCAGGGCAGTGATGGCAGCTCTCATCCAGGAAGCCCAGACCCAGGACACTTGCTGCCCACTGCCCTGCACCCTCAGCATGTGGCCTTCAAGTTCATGGTCCGAGGAGGGTGGCCCGTGCTACTGCCACTGCATCTATACTCCTTCATTTGCTCTTCCCTCCAACAACGGCAGCTTTGCTGGTGTCTCGCATGTACTAGAAAGAGACTAAAAGGTGTTACATGTGTGAGATTAAAAGTCAGCACTCTTGGGATTCTGAGGAAAGAAGGAAGAGAGAAGATCTCTAAGATGTCTACAAGGAGAAGCAGCCAGGACACTGAATCTACGTAAGGGCTCGTCTGGGTTGGGACCGTGTTTGTGTCATAGACAGACATACCTCATTTTATTGCGCTTCAGAAATATTGAGTGTTTTACAAACTGAAGGTTGGTGGCAACCCTGCATCAGAGCAAGTCTCTTGGTGCCATTTTCCAGCGTGAAGATGCTGTGAAGACTGTTGAAATGACAACAAAAGATTTAGAATATTATAGACACTTAGTTAAAAAAGCAGAGTGAGGGTTTGAGAGGAGTGACTCCAGTTTTGAAAGAAGTTCTATTGTGGGTGAAATGCTGCCAAACACCATCATGTGCTATAGAGAAATCGTTCATGAAAGGAAGGGTGCAGCAACACTTTATTGTCTTATTTTAAGAAACTGCCACCCCAGCCTTCAGCAGTCCCCAGCCTGATCAGTCAGCAGCCATCAACATCGAGGTGAGATCCTCCACCAGCAAAAAGATTGCGACTTGGTGAAGGCTCAGATGATGGTTACCATTTTTTATCAGTAAAATGCTTTTCAATTAAGATATGCACATTGTTTTTTAGACATAAGGCTATTGCACACTTAATAGACGACACTAGAGTGTAAACATAACTTTTATATGCACTGGGAAACCAAAAGATTCACGTGACTCGCTTTACTGCGATACCTGCTTTATTGTGGTGGTCTGGGACCAAACCTGCAGTAACTTCAAGGTATGCCTGTATATCGTTCCCCTGGAGAACCCTGACTAATCTACAGCCTTTCAGAGAAATCTCTTCTAGGATTGGCAAACAGGAGGCACATGTGTGACACTCACTCCTGCACCTGGGCAGACATCACTAATCAACCACCTTGTTCTTTCCCACCAAGCTTAGGTTTAGCTTCAGAATCATTCTTAACATTGTTGTTTTTTTTTTCAATTGAACAGAGTTCCATTTGCAGTGCCTGCCCCACCTGCTGGAAAGCTACTTCTTATATCTGCCTCTCTGGGTCTCCCACATATTGATCCTCTGCTGCCCTCTGTGACACCTCTGCCACTCTGAGGTAAAGATGTTTAGGGCTGGAAGTCTTAAGCCCCATGGGACATAGCCTGGGAAAGGCAGAAGAGCCTGGAGGTGTGGTGGGCTGCTATCAGGCCTGCCTGAGCCTGGCAGTCACAAGGCAGAGCCAAATATTGGAAACAGGCATTTATTGGGAGCTACAAAGAGTCTTTCCACTGAATTCTGAACGCCTGTACCCAGGACCAAAGCCAGCGATCCACGGAGGGTCCAGGATCCAGGCGGAGAGCAGCTCAAGGCTACTTATGGTCGAGCTGGGACTAGAACCTCAGCCTGTGAGTTCCAGGCCATGGAGTCCTTTGTCAGGTCATACTGTTTTCCTTTGAGAAAGCATTCCAATGCTACTTCCCCAATTTCATTTGGAAACCATGGGCTCCGTCACAAAGAAGGCAGCCCACCCATCAGTCTAGAAGAATGTTTGGGCTTCTGAAACGTAGGGTGATTCCTTCCAGCTTCCAGAAGAGTATGGAGGATTCAGCTATGAAGAGTCCACATGGTTGCAATGTCTGACTAGCAAAGGTTTACTTTTAAATACTTAATAATGTTAAGTGTGTAGGGGAATCTGAAATGGTGAGACCGAGCATTTAGACAATCCTGTTTTTGACGTAATTGTCCAGCGTGGAGGAGGAGTCCGCTCCAGGCTTCCCGTTGGGCTTATCATCAGTTACAGCTGAGTCAGTTTTCTCCTCCGGTGGGTATGCTTTGTTCCTTTTGGCAAATGCCTGGCTGATTTCTGCATGGGTTTTGTTTTTGGTCTCGGGCAGGACAAAATATAAATAGACAGCACCTGCGAAGCAGACTGCGGCAAAGACCAGGAAGCAGTAGGTGCCCAGGCTTTTCTGTGGAAAGCAGAGACAGAAAACATCAGAGAGACAGTTACTCACAGGGCCATGAAACCATCTCTGAACAGACTTTTTTGTAGGACAGCTCCCCAGTCATCACCCAGCGCTCCTGGATATAGCTCTGCTGCATGAAGAATGTGAGGCTGGCTCTACGGGCAAGTGTGCCTTATACATGTCTACATAGGCGCTCTCCCATGAGGCAGAGTAAGTCAGCTTCAAACCCCAGGAAAGACGAGGACGTGACAGTCTTTCTTTGTTTCTTTCCTTTTGAAAATGAGGCATATAAAAGTTAATCATCATAAAAGCAAAATGTAATACTACTGAACGTTATCTGAAATTCATATTTACCATTAACCACATTCACCCTCCCCTGCAATATACACATGGGAAAAGTGTTATGTCAAAGGGAAGTGAAATTCCCCAGCTGATAACAAAAATATGGAGCATAGACAAGGCCAAGAAAACACCATTTTTTTAATAATATGCAAAAGATGTAACCCACTGATCAATACTCACAGTCATGTACAAACAAGTGAGATGAGAAAAAAGAGAACTATTGAATGCCATCGCTCTATTGTAGGTATCCTGATTATCACAATGACCCTGCCAACTGCACCTCGAGTGTCTCAGGGACTCGGTCACCTCTGTCGCTCCCGTGCCTTATACGGTGCCTGGTCATGGAGCTTCTCAATAAATGTTTAAGTAAAAGACTACCGCGTCCAGCTGTGACTTTGTCATGCAGCAAACATCTGCTGATCCAATGATAAGGCGACGCTGTCTTCAAATAATATTTCACAAGAAGCAATATCTTGATTTTTAGTCAAGCCCATGCTCGTCTTTGATTTGACTTTTATTTTTGGAGTGTGACATACAGTGCCAAAGCGCTTGATCTCCAGGTCACATCCCAGAGCCGCCCTTGACTGAAAATGAGGCTTTGGTGCCTCGGTTTCCATAGCCGTAAAACGAGGATGATAGTGGCACTTCCGGGGTGCGTGGCAAGGACTAAGGGAGATGTTCTCTAGAGAACATGGAGTAAATGTCCCACACCTGGGAGAGTTTAGCTCTGAAGGTATGTTCCTTCCACTTGTTCACCCAGATTCCATAAGCCATGCAGAAAAACAGAGTATGGGTTTTGAGGTCAACTGGGTAGGAGTCACATCCTGGCTCCATTATTTACATATTGTGTCAGCACTTAAGATGAGCTATTTAAGACAGAGCGTCAATCCACTGATTGAACCTTCCTCATTCTTGACACTGTCACATACACCACATGTTGTTTTGAAGATGAAATGAGATACGCCCGACTTGGCACTGAACATCTCCGCTTGCATGCTGAATCGGTTTCTGGCATATCAAGTCCAAAGCGGAGCGTCCAGACCCCCTCCTGCTCTGGCCAACCCCATCTCAGTCGACGGCATCTCTGCCCTTCCATTTGCTTAGGCCACCCCAGCACTTAGAGTCAGATCTGGCCCCTCTTGACCTCTCGCATCCACACCTGATCCATCAGGAAATCATGTTGGCTCTGCCTTGAAATACATCCCGAATCTGAGCATTGGTCACCACTTTTCCTGCTACCATTTTGGTCCAAGCCACCATCCTCTCTTATATGGATTGTTCCAACAGCTTCTCAACTGATTTCCCTGTTTCTCCCTTTGTCCCCCTTAAGATTATTCTCAAGAAAGAAGTCAGAGCCATCCTGCTAAGCAAAGGACAGAGACTGTCACTCCCCTGCTCAAAACTCACTCTGACCTCCCAAGTCACACTGAGCAAAGCCCAGTCCTTACCATGTCCTCTAAGGCCACTGACCATGGGGCTGCCTTACTTCTCTGATCTCACGCTTCCTCTCACTTCTTCTATTCCAGCGACACTGCTTTCATGATAGTCTTCTACTATCCTGCCTCAGGACCTTTGCTGTTCTCCCTTCCTGGAATAATCTTCATCTAGACACATGCACATCCTGCTTTCTCATTCATCTCTTCATCTCAGTTTACAGGCCACTTTCTCAGAAAAGTTGTCTTAGACTCCATTTCCAAAGGGCTCCTCCTCAGCTCCCCCCTTATCCTGTGTCTTTGCTCTTCAAACCCCTCACCAGGACCCAACATTACACTATATACCTACTTGTGTATTACCTCTCTCCCCCAATGGGAGGGAAGCTACCCAAGGACAAGAGCTGTTGTTTTTCTTCTTTTATTCCCAGAACCTGGAAGACTGCTTGGCACACAGCAGGTGCCCAGCAAATGTTTATTGAATGAGGCTCAGAGAGGCTCCCTCGCTACCCCAGGCCACACCGGGAGCCGTCTGGGAGCTCTCTGCCCCCTGGGCATCTGCCACCTGCCTGGCTTCTTTTCCCAAGAGACCTGATAGACATCACTAGGCTTTTCCTCAGTTTCACAAAATTGAGTCAAGAACACTGTGGCTATTGCAGCCACCCTGGGAAAGGACACTTCCCCCACTCAGGAGTCTCAGGGGCCATGTTATGGGAAGGCCCAGTGAGGGGCCCCCCTCCTGGGCACAGGCCCCGCCCCCTCAGCCCCAGATGCAAAGCCCTGCTGCTCTGTCTCTCCACCAGCCTCCCACCGTGGTGACTGCCCTTGTGGAGGGCTGCAGCCTGCAGCAGAATCCTGTGACCCAGAATCCTGTCACCCTAAACCTGGCTCTGCAGACACCAGCCACCTGCTCCTGAATAAGGGTGTTGGGAGGAGGCTTGTAAGACTGCTTCAGGAGAGAGAGCACAGAGGGTACTCAGCGAAGGTAGCCTCTTTCCTGCCAGTCACAGAGCTGTCACATGCATGCTCATTTGCTGATGCAGGGCGACTGGCCTATGTGGTCCCTCTTTACAGATGAGGAAATCAAGGTACAGGGAGGTCATACTTCTTGCCCGGGGTCACGCTGCTTGGACGTGGCAGGGCTGGGACAACAGGGGGGCAAGCCCAATGCTGCCAGTAGCACGTTTATCTGATGTTGGCTGATTTAATGTTTGCACCCACTAATGGCGTAGGTATTATTTTACAGATGGGAAAAAAGAAGGGTGACATTCTCGGTCCGTGGTTTTGAGGGAAATCTGGCAGTCTGATCCCAGACCCCGCATTCTTCCTGGCTTAGAAAGTTAGGACTGGAGAGACCTGGCCAAGTAGTCAATGGGAAAGAAAAAACCCTGAGGCCACTCCAAGCCCAGAAGTTCAAACAGAAAGTCAGGGCCCGTGCCGGAGAAAGGCGGAGAGGATTGCATGATGGTAAGAGCCAGATGGCTGGGCGCTGACGCTTCCCCTGCTCCTGGCAGCCCCAGGACATTCTGTGGTATCTGCCTGAAATAATTTCGTGTCGGCAATCATGACACAACCTGGCATTACTGCGAGTGTGTGATTGTGTTTAACCTGGGAAGAGACATGCTCTGATCAAGTCCCTACTGGAGGCCAGCAGGATTATAGCCATTCCCTCATCTGATCCCCACCGCCCACACGGCGATAGAGCCATTTTGATTTCCGTTTTCCTAAAGATGAAATAGAAGATTAGAGGTTTCCTGGAACATGTCTAAGGCTAAGCAGGGATGGATGGGTGTCAGGACTCGCACTGGACGGGGCCTGGCTGGGAGCTCACGCTCTCTCCATTGTTTATCACGACTCACTCAAGACAGAGTGGGGAAATGATAGGTTCCTGGGATCCTACCGTGTTCCCCAACAGCAGACGGGAAGCGTGGCTTCCTGGCCTCCTCTTGCAGGTGAGAAAATGGAGATCAGAAAGGCTGAGTGATTTGCCTGTGGTCACACAGCTGGTAAGGGCTGCACCTGGATTTGAACTCAGGTTGGCCTGATCCGGAGGCCATCATCTCGCTTCAATACCTGCCTCTCTTTTTTTTTTCTTTAGCTGAGCCATCCTGCCACCTGTTGGCAGCTCAGTGGCAGCTCAGCTGGGGCTGGAACTCGAACCGCTGTTGTTCAGAGCTCGCACTCTTGAGCGAGCTCTTAACCAACTGAGCCACTCGGCCGGCCCATGATACCTGCCTCTTTTGGGGAAATTCATTCAGTGCAGTTGGTCCAGCTCCCGCAACGCGCCTGGCACAGAGGATGTACATGTCACTGTTTCCCAGTCTCCTCTTTTACTTCCAAAGAGCTTAGCAACCTGCTGTCTGCCCAGCTGACCCTGAGGTTAGTCAAGCCTGTTATGGTGGGTGTTGGAGGGCTGCCCAGTGCCCCCTGAGCAAGGAGATTCCAGGCAGCACGTCTGTCGTGGGAAGGACCCTGCCTGAGAATTCGCCGTTCTGCCTCCCCCAAACACTCAGCTCGTCACGTGACCTTAGGCAGTGCCCACACTCCATCTGGCCTTAGGTACCCCGCTTCGTACAACAGAACTACGCTCAAGGTTCACACTCATAAGGCTTGGTCCATAAATGAAAAATATCGATCAGTCTGGCTACTTGAAAACTAAGAGCGTCTGTTCATCAAAAGGCCCCATGAAGAGTACAAGGGTCGCACACGGAGAGAAAGCACTGTGATACATGACAAACAAAGAATTATCACTCAGGTTAAAAATACAACCCAACTCTATGAGTCCATAAAAAAAAAAAAGGTGCCTTAACAGAAAAAAGGGCAGGACATCCGAACACGCGTTTCACAGAAGAGCAAACACCAGCGACAAGTAAGCACATGAAAAAGTCATTCCAGATAACAGAAGCTGAAACCATCATGTCACACACCATTTCACACCTGTCAGATTGGTAAAAATGTAGCAGGTCTGACAAGGACAATGCCAGAGGGTGCGCGGTCCGGATTTTCATAGGGGGGTGTGCTGTGAGCGCTCCACGCACTGTGGACGACAGCGCGGCGTCAGCGACTCCAGGGGGCGCTGTGAGAGTCCTGGGACCCAGCCGCCCCACGAACGCGAGGGCACCTGCTCTAGAGCGCTGCCCTTTGAGTTTCAATTGGTGAAAAGCTCACTTCCTCGGTGGCACTCGCCTCGTGTCAGGTGTTCGAGGGTCCCCCATGGTTAGTGGCTTCCGC